ATATATATTGTCCTCAGATTAATTATGTTAAGAAATGCTTCAGAGGAAATTTGCTGCTCTGCATATTTGTTTAATTGAGAAAATAATGCTATACAATACTTAATAACCTCTTAAAATTAAAATTTACAAATAAAATTAAATAATAGAATTTAATAATATAAATTTAATAAAGTATGAATCATAAAATTATTATGTTATTTTTGTAATCAATGATCTATTGAAATAAATGAATCTAATGAAATATAATAAGCTTTCTTACTTAATTTAAATTTAAAACTTTCATCGTTTCTATAATTACTTATAAACATTAAAGTAGATTAGGAATAAGTTGTTTCAGACACGTGCTGCGCTCACGCATATTTAACATTGTTCCAGAAAATAACGTATTTAAAAAAAAGAGGACATTTTGACAACGAACAAATTGTTTCATAAAAACAACCTCAAGCTTTTAAAAACTCTTTTAATAAAGGGAGATGAATGCTCCTTATCAATACCAAGAATCTGATGAAAGAAAACTCTTTGAGGAACGCTGATCGTCTATCGCATTCCTGGAATGTTTTGGTGTTCAAAGATATGAGTTTTTAAAGATGGTCCGATTTGTTTAGAAAGATTCGTTGGAGAAGAGAATTTTTGACAGCTGACAAGTAAGTAGTGCTTTCTCTTCTTCTTATTTAGATTAATTTTCATTCATTTTGTTTCAATGAAATAATTAAACGGAGTTTTCAAGTTTCTCAAGTTGTAATTCTCAGGTTTCAATTTAGATTAATTTTCATTAATTTAGATATAGTTTTCATTCATTTTGTTTCAATAAAAAGAATTAAATGTAATTTTCAAGTTAATTTAAGAAGGTTTTAGTTAAATTATTGAATAATTTTAATATATTGAAACTTTTTTTTAAAAGAATTGTATTGATAATTAGTGCGAGTACGTTTCCACAGTATTTGATTTGGTATTTTAACTGCTTGTTAGACGTTGTAGATCTTTTTTATTCATTTTCTATTTAAATTACTGTTGAGTTTAGTAATTATTGTTTTATTAAAAATATTTCTATGTTCTTAAATGAATCAACATAAATGTTAAAATAACGATTAGAATGTAACTTTCATGAACAAGTTATGAAATAAATATTAAACAAACGTGTTGCTTTGTAAACATGCATATATATGTAAACATGTTGTCCAACACCAGACGCTGAACCAGATCATGTGATAAAATATTATCTGGTGCATGTTATCAATTGATCAAACATCCTAATATTGAAATTGTTAATGTCAACTAGGTCTTAACGCATAGAGCATTGCTATTGGTTTCTAATTTCGTTTGTTTTCTGTTAAGAATACCTCTTAAATCAAATTAGTAACTAATATGCACTCTTTCCTTTAAAACACAAGGTGCGATGGTACAATTTCAGTTAAAACGCGTTAAATCGATAACGATGAGCAGGATAGCGCCTTTTTTCTATAAAATTTTGCTACGGGTAGAGCATTGATTATATTGTACAGCAAATTTTAAAGCGTTTTTTTGTCATATAGATGAAACTATGTGATTCGGCAATAACATAAAAGGTGCTTGATTTATAAATTGAACTTAAAATGGTTCATCACGTACTGTTTCTGTGGGGAAAAAATTGCTAAACTACTGATAAATTCTCGAATCTCTCGCTACTTAATGTACCAAGAGCTTCAAAATTCCGGGAAGGTAGATAAGGTTTTTGAAGCAAAGAGATCACCAAAATAATCGTCAAGTAGGAGAATGTCGCACTGCAAACGAGAGCATCTTTCCTTTGCTTATAAGTAGTAACAATAGTTTTGATAAAGTAAAGTCGGCGTGCAAGAATGTGAATTTTCGGTAAAAAAAAATTATAATTACAGACTTTAAAAAAAAAAAAGAACAGATTCATTATTTTTAGCTAAACATTTACAAGCAACGTATTTTAATTTAAAAGATATTTTTAATGTTGTACTGTATTGATACATGTTGTACATTATTATTGATGCAGTGCCTGTTTACTAACAGGCATATTGATGCCTGCTAGCAAACAGGCACGTGAGTTGTCATCCACGTAGATCTCTCAATTATAATTTAAAATGGAAAATATCCAATATCGTATATAATCTATGAGATTTGATTTCTATGTCACCGTAAAGATACCAATTTCATGTAAAAAATTACTTATGTTAACAAAAGCTCCAAAAACTATATTGCACAATCTAAAGTCAGATCTTTAAATTTAAAAAAAAAAAAATAATAAATAAAGAAAGAAATCTTTGTTTTAAAATTGAATCAGAAAAGGTGATTTCCAACGATACACAATTTTCCGCGTTACATACAAAGAAATAGTAAATATCTTTAACTGAGAGCCTGTAATAGTTAAGTTTGAAAAGGAAAGGTAAATTAGGTCGCAGTTATGAAGAAAACTTATTATTTTTTATTTTTTGAAAATGAACTGAGTTTTTATTAACTTTCTCTAATTTAAAAATTTTTTTTGGATTGTTTGTTCAAAAAATTAGTTAACTGTTTGAACTTTATTAATCAGATTGTAATTAAAGTGATTTAAAAGAAATATTTTTTCTTTTAACCCCTTAACAATCGGTTAATTTTCAAGAAAACGGTCATAAAAGTGCATATTTTGCCAAATACGCGTATCTGATTAGTGCTGACATCTTGTTTAAAGTAACCTAACTATCTACAATTACCTTAAAAATATCCTGGTACTTCCATCTGGTGTGTAAAATAAGAAATAAAATGTTTTCCGGGCAAAAAAAAAATGAATTAGTTTTATTCTTATTTGCGGGTAACTACTGAACACTACTGACCGGAAATTTCACGGGAGCGAGAAATAGAAGGCGAAACCTCACCCCGCTATTTTCACGGGAGCGAGAAGGAAGGGGTTTAACTAAGTTGTTTCTGTAAAATGAATCAATAGTTTTAAAATGAAATTTTTTTTTGCCTGCTGGCTTTTACTTAATAGTATAAATGTTTCTTTATGATTTTACATGATATATAAATATATTCCGTTTTTTATTATGAATGCTATAAAGTTTTTTACAAAATTGACTGTAGCTCCCAGGAATATCTGCTTTTTCTTTAACCACTTTTAAAACTTATCCTTTACGTTTCTAGAAAGGCACATAAACACAGCAAGGTTTTAATTAATTCTTTCAGCTAATGTGTTGAACAGATTGTGGTTCTATCTATTTATTAGATAGTTACCTAATTAGACTGCCTAATTAGGCTTCAATTTTAATTGTTTTTATAAGCAGTTTTGCGATTACTATTGTGTCATCAATTGCTATATATCAAAAGTGCTATAAAAAGCTTCCAAAAAATAAATAAGTAAAAAAATAAATTTCTACAATCTCTAAAAACTGCGTTTTTGGGAAATAAGAAAACTTTTCGAAAAGTAAATATGTTATCACAGTTGCACTTTATTAAAAAAAGTTTATAGAAAACGGTTGCAGTTAGCAAAATATAACTGACCCTTTTTTTCTTGAAATCGAATAATGCATTTTATACCTAGAAAATAATTTATGATATACTTTGTACAGAATTTTAATGTTGCGAAAAATGTTTAAAATATATCGTATATTTTTTTACTTCAAGAATTATATATTAAAAAACATAGCTGTACAATAGTTAAAAACAAATAATGACGAATTCCAGAATTAAGAATATCTCAATAAATTCTAAAAACAATGTAAATGTATACAATTATAAAGTCTAAGAAGCTTTGTCGCCCGAGGAAGATGTTTAGCTACAGTTGCAGTTACTTGTCTGGATAAGAGGAAGTTTATGCTTGAGGTTTATGATATTTGGTCAATTTAGGAATTGGTAACTGGGCGGAGTGAGCTTGACGCTAGCTTTTATCCATCAATCTTCTTATAACCCTATATTGATTGTGTGACCAAACTTTTTCGCCAAAGCAATTGGCGTTGTTTAAACAAAAGCTATTGTTAGAGGAAGCCATTTTCTGTATTTAGCTGCGCGGGATTTCATATTTTATCATCATGAAAGTTTTAATTACAGGTAATTCTTATTAATTAAAGATTTATAATATTAGTGTACGTTTCATAGCAGTATATAAAAAAATTACATGAAATTTTTAAAAAGATTAATGAATTTTATTAAATATCTGTGAATACCACGCGTTAGATTTTAAAGTAAATAGTTTGTAAAATGTATGTATTTTAAGAAAATCGTTATAAAAATTCATTTATCAAAGTTTTTCTCTGCTTCCTTAGAAATCCTTTGTTTGATCTGCCGAAATTGTGTGAAGCAGTTTAGTAATGAAATTTCATTTAGTTGAATTACTTGATTTATGTTTATTTTAGTGACATAATACAGAGGTATCTTTTTTTTCTATGAAATATATTGCTAATTAAAATTTATTTTATATAGAAAGATTAATATTGAATTTTCTTAAAAATAGTGAAGAGGGTTTTGATCATGTCTAAAATAATTTGTTTCAATTTTATTGTAAACTAATCTAAAAAAAAATTCTGAGAGAAATGGAACAAATTTAGATAATATTTATCATTTTCATTCACAGTTACTGCATTCATTATTATTCTTTTAGGTTGTCTTAACTATTGAATAAATTATGAGCATGCATACTTTCAAAAAAA